GACGATTGGTTCCATAGATCCTACTCCAGCAACATTCTACAACCTACAGAAACACACACTTTCAACTAATAATGCTCTCGAATTATCAAACAAATACAATTCTCCAAATCATGTCGAAATTAGAAATGACTGCTCTGATATACAGGACTCAAATGGGCAGCATGTAGCAAACAGCGATGAACAATTATCTGAAGAGGTAATACGGGTGATCTCTACTGGAAATAGCTGAAATTTGCTAAAACTGAAGCTCTTCAGAGCAGTTTTCTAAACAAACGTCAAAATTTCCTCGCTTACTAATCACTTTCATTGACTTTTCGCCCCTAACTTTCCTCACCGTCTTACGCTGGCAGCTGTTTTTCGCTACCAGCAGCAGCTGCGCATATGGCACTGGTGCTGCAAGGAAATTTCTGCTTCCTCGTTTGTTCCTGCTTCACAACTTAAGCTCTAAACTCCTGTTATTCCGATATTCATGCGAGTTAAGTGTTGTCGACCATATGATATTTGTGTGGTGAAGAAAACACTTGCACCATCGAGATGGGAATCTGGAAAAGTGGAGCTTAAATGTCGAAGTGAAGAACTGATGGATTCGAAATGCACGCAGCAGCGACAGAGCCTTCTCCCCTCGGCTGCATGCTTCGGATTTTCGGATAATTTCCAGTGGTGCGCGAAGATTACTTTCTATGAACAGTAAGTTAAATTTAAAGCAGCTACAGGATGACTAACTGATGCAAACTCGCGCTTTGCTGACACATTCGTGAGAAAGCATTTTAACACAGCTGAATTGCAACACAACAAAAAAAAAAAAAAAAAAAAAATTCAGCGTATTGAGGACGGCGCAACACTGAAAATGGCCGGAAAACAATAAATGCGCGGTGCACAAGCAGAATACACAAACCAAAAAAGCACTGCTGTTCACTTATTAAAATTTAAATAAGAGAATAAAACAATTGCGGCATGCGTAACAATAAGAGAATCGACAAATGTTGACGGATCCAACGTTCGCACATAATTATGTAAATTCCGTATTTTCCTTTCCAAGCCAATATTTTGATCTTTCAAAGTAAACCTTTCCTAAAATAAAGCTTAAAGTTGAAAAATTACTCTAAACAGTTCTAATATTAATAAAAAAGCACTGAACCTTCACAGTAACCAAAAAAGTAAAAACTTTCTTCGGTTTTTCCGTATATCTGAAAATGGAAGGACCCAGAAGTAAGCTGAATGATTCTGTCAGCAGCAGCCAATCACTGACAAAATTATCGATGATGCTCTTACAAAAGTCGCTGCATGATGGAGGGGGGCTTGCTTTTCTAGCACTCTACAGATGTCAATACCAATTTACCATGGAAATGAATTAAAAGAACTGTAGAAGGTTGGAGATTTTCCTTTTCAAGTTTCATACAAGGAAATATACGGCAAATAATGGGAATTACCTTGAGGACATAGCCGTTTTCGTGTAGAAAATTAAGGAAACTAGGATCCTCTCGAGTAATAGGCGGCATATATGCTTCTCGGAAATCGCGCGACCAGTAATCTTTTGGCGATTTAGTTCTGTAACTGAATTGAAACTTTAACTGTGCTAATAGGCGAAGTGCTGCTTTATAACGTCGCTACAGTTAGCAACTTTCCAAAGGCCACTGCGAACGAAGTTCCGCCGCTTCGTGTCCAACTTTTTGGTGATCCAGACCTTCGTTTCCCTGTCTCTTTTCTCTAGAGAAAACTGTTTCCCTCCATCCAGCTTGTGATTTGAGAGTATGCACTACCAATAATCCTATGCTTCTCCAAAACGGCTACCAGTTACAGGGGACCAGGACAGATAAACTAAGTTAAATAAAGAAAAATTAAAAAAAAAAATGACTTCTCGTACAGCTGCAAAATAAAGAGTACAGCGAAAATCTGACGAAAATACCGCAATTTGGCCAAAAAAAAAACCGGAACAGTTATGCAAAAATTGACTTACTTTGTGCCTGCGCTAGTAAAATGATATAA